TTTGTTGCCTCATCAATATATTTTTTATCAATGTCAAAGGTTTATTATTTTTTTCTCACTTGGCGTCAGCAGTTTCCATAGTTGAATGTTTATGATAAAAACCGTTTGCCAATCACATTTAAAATGGCGGACAACAAACAGAAAAAATCAACTAATTACCAAACGATTAACCTATATTGTTAATTGCATATATAAATACAAATCACATAAATGACTTAAACAATATGGGATTTTGTTCTATTAAGGGCGAGAAATGAAACCACCTGGGAATTTATTTGGCATCATTGTTTATCCTTTACACAAGCAATATGTATATAAGCAAAGAAGCTTTAAAAATTTGAGTAAATTAAGGTCAAAAATATGGAAAATCTCATAAATACAATCAGACTGCAAAACAAATGAGACCTTATCGTCATTGAAGCATAACGATTCCGTAATTTGTTCGTTGTTTACCGGTTTACATAATACCTATTTCTAATCCACTAATTGAAGAAAATGGATATATTTTTGTAAAAAAGGAAACTAACCAAAATAGAAAGAAATATTTATAAATAAACAAGAATAAATGAAACAGATATGAATTAAGTCTTTAATATAAATTTACCGTAAAATGTTAAAAGTTTCATAAATACTTTAGATATTAGACTGGAGTCATGAAATAAAACAGAACTTAATGATTAAATTCATGAATCGATTTAACCTAAACCACCATTGAAAGTCTGGAAGCACTAAACAGCCGTCTCGTTCTAGTATGGGAATCAGCAGTGCACATCCACGATCCCACACCCGGGGTTCGAACTCAGGACCTTTGGTCTCGCGCGAACGCACTGCTGAAGAGTCCTATACTAGGACGAATCGGCCGTCGAATGCTTTCAGGTTTTCACTGGTGATCTAGCTTCAATCGACTCATAAGTTCAATCATCAAATTACTACAATATCCACAAACCCTCATTCCAGCAGTAAAACAAAACTATTACTAAGCTTCAAGTTCTAGGTGACTTCAAACAGTAATATTATTCTGGTTAAAAAATATGGAACTGCCACCAGTGAAGACGTTGAACAAGTCAATGATAATAAGTTTGAAGATGCTTACTTACGCCTGTTACTCCCAATGAAGTGTAGGCCATCGACCAGTGTTCCCCAACTCACTCTGTCCTGGGAATTCCTTTCTAGTTCTATCCAGTTTTTGTTCATTCTTCTCATGTCTGTCTCTATTTCTCGGCGTAATGTGTTCTTTGATTTTACTCTTTTCCTTTGGCCTTGAGGATTCTGTGCGTGGGCTTGCCTCATTACGCAGTTGGGTGATTTCTCCAATGTGTGTCCTGTCCACTTCCAGCGCTTCTTCCTGATTTGTCCCCCCACTGAAATCTGGTTTGCTCTCTCCCACAGTAGAATGTTGCTGATGGTGTCTAGCCAACGGATCCCAGGTATCTTGCGTAGACTACTGTTAATAAACACTTGTATTCTCTGGATAATGGCTTTCGTAGTTCTCCAGGTTTCCGTCCCATACAGTAGAACTGTCTTGACATTTGTATTGAAAATTCTAACCTTGGTGTTGGTTGACAATTGTTTTAAGTTCCAGATGTTCTTCAGTTGTAAATATGCTGCTCTTGCTTTGCCGATCCGTGCCTTCACATCTGCATCAGATCAACCGTGTTCATCAATGATGCTACTCAGATATGTAAAGGTTTTCACATCCTTCACTGCTTCTCCGTCAAGTGTAATTCCATTGGTGCATGATGTATTGTATCGGAGAATCTTGTCTTTCCCTTTGTTTATATTGAGACCTACTGCTGTTGAGGCTGCTGCTACACTGGTCGTTTTCTCCTGCTTATGTTGTTGAGTGTGCGATCGAAGAGTCAAGTCATCTGCGAAGTCTAGATCGTCCAGATGCATCCCAATTGTCCATTGTATCCTGTGCTTCCCTCCAGATGTTGACGTCTTCATAATCCAGTCGACCACCAGGAGAAAGAGGAAGGATAAGTGTAAGCAACCTTGCCTGACACTGGTTTTTACTTTAAACGAGTCAGTCAGTTGTCCTCTATGTACGATTTGGCAGTTTAATCCATCATGGGGATTCCGTATGATATTGAAGAGAAGTGAATATAAAATAATCCAAACAGTAATTTTACTTCAATATACATGTGGCCAAATAGTCCAAAGTTAATCTAACATTTCGAATAGTAATGTGGTGGAAACTGCAATACTATTAATAATAGTAATAAAAATAATAAGACATATTAAACCACTATGATAAGTTAAACGGACATAATGAGCTGATCTCTAATTAATGACCGATTTTATGTATGATCAGTTCTTTTAATGCTGACTGAATTCTATTGATCTAGTTAGAAAGTGACCACTAGTCTAACTGACCTGATATCGTGTGGAGTAGATTGAGATTAAGTGGTGGTGACTAGCTCCAATCAACTTACAAATTAAACACGTGTTTAGAATTCCCATTAATAACGAATGGTTTAAAAAATAGATGAGTCGCGTGGTTTTCTTGGTTCAATGTACCCCTACTAACTCATCTGTCTCTGCGAGAATAGGACGTGCTTCTAAGTGAAAGTAGTCACTTAGTAAACAATGCTATTCATGTTCAAAGAAAGAAACAAATTCAATGTGAAGTTCTACTTTCGTCACATGTAGTCGACAGTGGCCATGATGTAAACGGAACTGAAGTATTCCCTGTCGTTCAAAGTATTCTATAACATTTCCCTGAATTTCGTACTTGTCTGTTGAACATAATCCAGATTATATTCATTTGAGTCAGTAAAATTTGTCTTTACATTCAACAATATTAAGTAATTCCTTCATTCTTCTCATGACAGGTAAAGTAAATAATTATATTAATTTTCACTCTTTCTGCAACTATTAATTACCGCTAATATATATATTTTAAACAATTCAATGTATATTATTTCGTGACTTTTACTGATAACTATTTTGATTAACTTAGAATGTGAAACTCTTTGTTTAGATTATTATACTAGTATATTAGTATCACAATACTCATTTTTATTTGTTGTTAGTTACGTAACCCATGCTAATGTTAGCACAGGAGAAAAAGCTACATTTCTTGGTTTGATCCTTCCCATATATATATATATATATATATATATATATATATATCAGGTTTCATTATTTTTAATTAAGTTGATTTAATATAACGGTTTTCTCTCTATTATTTAACTTTGGTCTGGCATTACGTAGTTTTTTGTTATTTCAGGATTACCTACTAAACAATTTTACTTGATCAGAAGGGGTTTTGTGAGGATTTCAGAATTTGCATAGTTGAAATCATAAGTCAGTTGAAGCTAGACCATCAAGGAAAACTCGGAAGCACTGGATGACCGTTTCGTCCTATTGTGGGACTCCTCAGCAGTGCGCATCCACGATCCTGCCTCGCAAGATTCGAACTCGCGCTCTGGCGCGAGACTGATTGGTCCTGGGTTCGCGCTAACTTAGAATGTTGAAAGGAAGCGGAAAAGAGGAAGGCCAAAAAACACATTACTCTGCGAAATAGAAGCAGATATGAAAAGGATGAATAACAACTGGAAAGAACTGGAAAGGAATGCCCATGGCAGAGTTGGATGGAGAATACTGGGTGGTGACTTATACTCCTCCACGACGGGTAACAGGCGTAAGTAAGTAAGTAAGCTATTCGCCATTTATTAGAATCAAACTTTATCAATCAACAATCCTGTACCATACTTTAAATTAGAATACCATGAAATCAAGTGTTCCCAATCAGTAAAATCTACTATCAAGAAAAAAATAATTTTTTTCTCCATAGAAACTAAATGAATATAATCCTTAATATTTCGAAAAAAATTAGTAATCTTAATAAGTGAACTGAAAACCAAATGTACAGATCCATTAATCATCGAATCATATATATATTATATAAAGAATACAAAAAACCCCTTCTATCAGCATTTTAATGGAGTGAACAATCGAAAAATGTATGAATAAATGGAAAAAAATCTGCGTGGAAAAAAATAATGATTATTTGCAAAAATTTTTTTTTATTTTCTAAAGAAAAAAATTCGTTATCAACATTGGTGGTCATGATCACTTTGTTGTATTATGTAACATTAATCTTTTTTTGTTTTACTTTATTTTAAAATAAGGCAAACTTTTAAAATTCTCTTTTCCATTTTACGCTTTATGGTAATATACTTATTAAAATGTGTATAAAATTGATGACATTTGTACGTGTATAAGTACCCATCTATAATGTACATGTGATTCAGTAATATACAACTTAATTCATTGTTAGCTTGAATTTTCCGCTCTCTTTCAAATAAAATGGTGATTATTGTGTGTCATGCAAAATTCATTTTTAAAATAATTTATGGATTCTAATTTTGTTTATATTTTAAATACAAAACAAATTTTTATGATTTATTACAATAATTTATTTTGGGTAGTTACAATTTTTTTTTTGTAACAAGCTATTATTTTTTAAAATAACGGACGAGGTGGTCTACTCAATTCTTCTACTTCCAAATATATGATGATCAGTATCTTGCAAATAATGACAGAATGGTAAAGTATGTACTGTACATTGCTGAACACTGACTCTGAGCATAGAATACTAAACAAAAGGTTGTTAATCTTTGACAACTGGGGTTAAAAAGTAATGTAAATGACAAATATATAACTATAGCTTCCTGGTTGATGTTCATGAGGTAGACTGGATCAATAGTTGAAGGTGTCTGTAATTAATATTATTTCTTAAACTAAAATAGTCATATATTAATGATTACGGTTTATTCAATCTGGGATTGTTTAAACATGGTGAGATCTAAATTGTCACTTTGAGTAATATACATTATCCTAGAGGTTGCTTTCTCATCTTGAAGTAGTTATTAAGAATTAAATACCAATTCAAGTTTTCTGAAAAAATCCAATCACTATTTCATATGAAAAAATGCATTGAATTACTAGTATAAACATAGGAAATAAATCATGCTAATTGAGTCTATTCTTACCTTTAATACATGGTGCATCAGGTAAACGTGTTTGTTTATAACCCTCCTGGCAACGATTACATGCTTGCCCAACAACTCCTGGTTTACAAGGACATTGACCAGTTTTACGATCACAATGTTGATTAGCGATTGATCCAATCGGGTGACATCGACATTCTAAAATGAATATACTTATCATGATTTAATCTTTATTGAATGAACATTTTATAAAAAAGTGTAATTACATAAACATGCAAAGTGCTGAATCAATGTGAGAACATTTTAAAAACGTTTTCATAGCGAAAAATGATGTTATTTATCTTCTGTTAATAAAATCATGCAAATTGTTGACGAACAGAAATCATACATTCTAACTAAGTCATTATACTATACAGGACCTTCAGCATAAACGTGTAAAACGATTACTACATATGCATTGTAAAACTTTTGTTGCTATCTCATATTTATCATGTGAAACGACTTAATTCCTTAGAATTTTGTGTCTATTTCAGTTTACAGATATTCAAGTTAGTATTATTGTGCTTAGCTGTGAATTAGATGTAAATTGTGAATAACTTGATGAACTGTCGTCACTATAAGAAAGTCATTACAGTATCCATCAATCAAAATCAGCCGATACATTTTAAAGCAAACTTCATCACATCAAGTTTACTATTATCCATAATATTATGATATTAGTTTGAACTAAACATAACTGAACAACTATAGTTCCCGATATATTCATAATTTTGTTTGAAGACTATTTCATTTTTGCTTCACTTCAATCATTTGTGCTCAACAATTGAAATCATAAAAACAGGAGTCCGAATTCGGTGACAATTCCGAGGTTATTCGTGTTGCTGAACCGATACCCGACATACCTTCGTTTTTGAAGATATGACTGGTAAATACAAATTCAACTCCCTTCATCTACAGAAAGATAAAACGGCAATAATACTGTACAAAGCCAGTCAACTTATGCTATTAGACAATCCATCTATATTCCAATTCACCGGGCCATTTGGGACTGCTTGACCCAACTTCAGTTCCCATTGTCCCCTTCCCCATCTAATGTTGAATTATGTGAGTACTTTAGTACTAATTATTGGATTTCCTGATGACTTCAAATATTAAGACTTTACTGAGTTTATTTTTTGGCAACGATGCTCACTAAAAAACATCTATGTGCTGACAAAACTCTTACCCAAACAGACTTGATCATGGCTAACAGGCTTTGTCCAATCTCTATAGTAACCTGTTGCACAATTATGACATTTTCTCCCGACCGTATTATGTTGACAATCTTGACACACACCACCGCTTACTTTCATTGACATTAGATATAACTGGTTTGAAAAAACGCATGAATTTGAGTGCAGATTACAATCACATCCTAATGTATCATTCACCAAAACCATGCATAAAAACATCCAAAGATTCATGCACATATCCATTGGAAATCCAAATTTTAAGGATTTATGCAACATTTTTAAAAAACAGGTGTATTCATACAAATACATAAGAAACCCACAGTTACCACAACAATATTGAGTTTGGAAGCGTTTGGTATAGTTAGAGCCATATCGTATATGTATATATATATATACATAGGGCGAATAGCGAATCCACGCCATATTATATGTTTAGTTAATATACAAATAAATAAATAAATATAATAACATTGAATTAGACACAAACAACAAAAAGAATAACTATATAAAGACAACAAAATCTGGAAAAAAATGCGACTTTTTCCATTCACGTTTTCATTTGTCCATTAATATTATATGAAATCATGAGAATTTATAGTCGCGCTGTTATTAACTGCCTACCTCGACATGCATGCTCATTTCCCATGGTTAGATTAGGATCACGATAATATCCAATTATGCACTGATCACAGTTTGAACCTTCTGTGTGATGTTGACATGCCAAGCATATACCACCGGTTATACCACCGGAACGCTTGAAAGCTTTTACGCTGAATATACATTGATTAGTGTGATTACCACATTGACAAGCTGTTTTAAAAAAGGAGGCGAATGAATTAACCAACTGAATTATGATCATTTGTTATCACTATTATATTGTTATTATTAGTAGAATATAGGCTTTTTAAAAAGTGCTACACTGTGTATATATTCTGTTTTTATTTATGAATAAAAAAATCAATATAATTTCTCTTTTGCATACCTCATCTGTGTAAACCGATCCAAACTCAGAAATAATTCAATAAACTAAGTTATCTAGATCTTCAAATATTTTAAAACTGGAATTGAATGATGTTTACTTCTGCTGATTTCTAAGAATTATGAACTCATTCTGAACTAGTTTGGCGAATCACTGTAGATAAATCGAGTAATTTATAACTTAACATACTACTAAAATCAATGAGCTCGATTGGTCTGATCAAGTAGCATGCAATGGAACCTAAAGGTCCTATATTCAGTCTGTAATGACATTATATGTCCTGACTGCCTAAAGAGTTTGATGCTACAAAGAAGACGCTGTTCATTACGCTTTGGTAATCAGTTTTAAAGCATTTGCGATCAATCTGTGGTTAGTATGACAGACAAAATAATAAATATAATTTATTTAGATGACTTTGAGATTGTCTACAATTTTGAAAAATTACTCTCCAAACATAGATTACAACTATCATATGGAAATCTCCACCCACCAAAACTACTTTACCTAATGGTCAAGTACTCCATAGACTACTCGACGAAAAACATTAGAAACCCCTAGTCAATCCGTCATTCATTTTCTTACCAATATCAAATACATATCTATAAGCTTAATGTTTACAGATATCTCCGAAGAAATTCAGAAAATTGACCATTAAGACTTAATAAAAATTTAGAAATGCACAATATAAAAATCAGAATCTATCTCAAACATTTATCTGCCAATTTAGATCTAGCACATTATCCTTCTCTTATATTATATACCCCTTTTTTTTCCACACTCTCTCTTATATACTTAGATTCCTTTTATTTTTCAGCATTCTCTTTCTTTTGTTTAAACATATTTAAATGTTCAATTAATCCCATCATTATTTTATTATTTTGTTTTAAATTATGATTTTTTTTTAAATTGGCGGGTACAATTCAATGAATTCTTGATAATTATAATTTGTTTAATTGTTTTTTTTGTTAACTCCATTTAAAAGAGATTAGTTTTCTACAGGAGTATAGAAATAATTAAGAAAAGAGTGCACATAGGATAGGATTTTAGTACAGATATATACAGATAGATATAATGCATATTCTACCATGAATTGGCATTGAATGAATAATAAAATATCAGATCTAATGAATATTTTTTTGGAGCTAGATACTCTTTTTTTAAAACTTTTATTATGATTTCAGATATGATCGGAGTTAACTTCAAAAGGCTTTCAGAAATAGATCAATAATAAGGTTTGGGATTCAATTTACTCTTAAACATTTCACACAATATAAATATAAGGATAACTAATGAAGAGATTAAGAGATTAAGATTAACAAAATAATGGATTCAACTAAAGAGAAAAGAAATCAGTATGAAATAAGATTGTTCAATTATTATAAAAGACTGAAATTGAATGTATCTAGTCACATAAGATTGTCCTAGAAATGGTTCTAGAAATTTTGAGAGTCCTAACCGAGTATTAAGTAGTTTGTTACATAACTCACATAAACATTTAGTAGTTTGGTGAATAAAGTAATACCTTGAACTGGTCACTTAAAGATTTTCTATCTATACTACTTTCACTCTACCAACAAGTAAAAGTTGCCAGTGATTTAGAATAGGTGAAATCTCAGTTAATTTTAGTTTGAGTTTACAGTCATTCTCAGTGAGTTGTTCTCTGAGCTCAGAGAACGAAACTTCTAAAATTCATATATATATATATATATATATATATATATATATATATATATATATATATTGATACATAGATGGCTGGGATGACCTTTAGTGCAAACCAATTGTTTATTAACCGAAGACATAGGATTATGGTCACCGTATGCAGCGAATCGATTGTAGTCGACATTTTGGATCATTTATACTACCCCATTCATATAGTTCTGATTGTTAAACCAGGATGTTCTAGTTTCAATTATGTGAGTTCATTATTATACAGTAGAGAGAAGTCACAAATTAGACCTCTAGAACTTGTGTCAGCTGTCGATGGAAACTCTCTTTACATATTTCAATAATATATGATTATTGATTATCATTGTTAGTCCACTTCTTTACAACAGCCTAACTTGTGCCGAATGTAACAATGTCGTTGAAATGTTTAGGATACATGGAAGCTCATTTTAATTATTTAAACATTAGTTGAATGATTATTCGCTGATATGTTGTGAACTCACTCCATGTGACTTTCAACTACCACTGATATGACCATTACTATTGTATCTATTTTTCCTCCTACGATTACTAACAACAAGAATAATAACAATGATAATAATAGTGACAATAACAATGACGTAGTATGCAAACTGTTCAATCTTTTGCACCATGAATGATTACCTAGACAAATGGAATATTTTGATGATGTATTAATTAATTCTTAATCTACCATTAATTATGTGTTATTTCATTCAAAATATTCTTTAGAATGAGTTAATGTCATTGTGACTAGGAAAATATTTCCTTTTAATTACACATACTATATGTATACACTATAAGACTGATGGAAATTAAAATGTTTGGAAAACCAAATCTCATAAATTACACAAACATAATATTGGTCTACATTTCTGTTTAAGTGTAGTGTAAAATGGTCAAGATTACAAACCGTCTGAATATATATGTCCTTTAATAAAATATACTAATTTAAGGTATTGTCGGTTTGGAATAAAATATGATGACAATCCAGACTAATGGTCTAAATAACTGTCATTTTCATGTACAGAGAAACCTAAACACCTATCCACACACAAGTGTATGCATAACTGTATACTTACGTGTATAGTAACCCAACACATTCATCGATTGGCCATCTAGCTCACCACATTTATGATGTTGACCACCTACTAATGCTGTTATTCTGCTAACCTACAAACACAAAGATACGACCTACTTTCAACTTAATTTAGTGCTTGCTAGTGTTAAAGTAAGTATAGGTAATGTATACATCCCTTCCTACCCCTCTTATAATTATTGTTGAGAGATTGTTTTCATGTTTAAATAAAATATGTAATTTATTACTATATGGTTGGTTTACAAGTTTTACGTATGGTGCATACAATTCGACAGGGCAACACTCTTTGCAAAAGTAGGCAAAAAACAATACTATTACTACAATACTTAAACTAAAAACTAGGAACGGTATATATATATATATATATATATCAGGAAAAAATCCAAAAATTCGAAAAAGACTGACAAATTGGTGATGAATGCTAACAACTGCCGTTTTAAAAAGCAAGAAGAATTGGCGAGAGAATAAATGAATGAAGAAGAACACTAAGCTTATTAAGTTATTTTTCTAGCCCTTTTTAGAAATTTAAGCAATTATAAGGCTAGAAATTTTAATCATAATAACTAAAGAGAATGCATATGAAAACTATGCCTGAAGAGGACTTGTCATCATGATTATCATATCAGTCAAGAAAATCATTGGGGTCGTGAACCGATAAATGTTAGACAATCATTGAAAACCTGGAAGCACTGGACGACCGTTTCGTCCTAGTATAAGACTCCAGAGAAGTGCGCATCCACGATCTCTTATGCGGGATTCGAACTTAATGGAAAGCCATGACCAGTAGAGCTAATTCATGTTGAGTGTGAGGCATTTACCTACCGAAGACAATAGAAGACGGTCGCGCAATATCGTGTATTGGTTGGAGTTAGGCATCAACACCACTGTATGCTGGCTCAGTGGTCTGGAGTTTAGGCGTTCGCGCGCGGGCCCGAGGGTCCCGCGTGCGGAATTGTGAATGCGCACTTCTAAGGAGTTCTATACTAGGATGAAATGGCATTCCGGTGCATCCAGGTTTTCAATGATGACCTAACATTGGTCGGTTTATTATTTAAGTGGGACTCAACAATCTCCACAACCCTATACTGTTGATCGAGAAAGTAATTTTCAATAATTTTGTTCGATAATTATCCTCTTTATTCCAAAGATTGCCACACAAATGAATGTGTTATTCCAGGTCATAACTGAATTTAGCTCTGTAACATAATTGCGTCATATTTTTTAACCACTAGATCACATAGGTACGGCTGTTATTTGAAGCTATAATCTACTTGTGTTATGATTCCACCCACCTTTTGATGTCCTTGTAGTCTTGTCACCATTGTGGCTGAAAATTCTCAGTCTAGTTAGATTTAAAATGCTAACTGACAATTCTGAAAAAATGTGATAGCACTGAGTAAACTAATCTGATTTAGAATTTGACGATTTGTGACGATAAATGGATTCTAAGGAACACCAGTGACCGTATATTGATAATATATATGTTCCACAAATCCTGGTGATTCCTCCGTTATTGTCAATTTAAAACGTGAATCCCAAGAAAGTTGATAACACTTCGTGTTAACAATATATTGGGTGGGAGTGTTAGGTGAGTGGTTGGACAGTTTTACTTTAATTGTTGCGTATTATGTTTTAACTCCACTCTACCTAGCTCAACATGAACTGTTGTGTAATGTCACTAACACATATGTACTGTACAAAGTCAAATGTCTGAAACCACACTTCATAAAATAAAACGGTGTTGAATAACCAGGTGTTTATTATTGGTTCAATAAATAAAAAACAGAGTTCCGTTTCTAGTACAATAATAAAACCAGTAATTACGATCTGAATATTTCACATATAAATACATTTAGTTTTCCAGAAGAAATAAATGTGAAATTCAAATTGTGAAAGTACGGAAAATAATTTCCAGATTTACTCAAAAGTATACTATGCAATTCACTACTGTTACAAGTCACATTGTAAATATCCTTCAATGTGTGAATACATCCTACCATTTTCTTGTTCATTGAATCCCATTTCGAAAACGATTAACCGTAAGTT